TATTTCATGCATAATAAATGTGATTTTTTTCTTGTTTTGGTTCCAGAACAATCATATATATTTTAAATTATTTTTATTCATAAATTACAATATATTGATATTTAATATTACTATCACAAACAAACGTAATGGACACTATCCATATGAGAATAACATATTTAATTTTTATCATCATTGAAGATTTTAACTTTATAAACTTACTTACACTGTGTTAGGATTTATTGTCATATTCCTCCTTAAGTCTATATTCTATGGAACCAACATTTTAATTTAACTATTTTACAACCTCGCACAAGCACAAAAAGCAAACTTCAATGATAATAATTTTTTACACACTTTGAAGCTAGAAAATAAAATCATTTTGTATATTTCAACATAAATAACCTCATTTAGCTAAAATTTATCATTTATTAAAACAAACAGTAATAATATCACTTTGATATCTTAAGACCCGAATAATGCTTCTACTATGCACAGTTTTTCAATTGCATAATATTCACGTAAAAAACATGAAAAGTTATTTTTAAACCACCTGAAAGCAGACTTGTTTAAATTGATAAGAGTAAAATATATTCTTATTACAAACAAAACAAAGAGCAATTTTTTCATCCATATTTCTTTAATTGTTGATCTGTGAGTCTACAATCTTTGATCCACATCTTGTCAAGTGCTGTACAAGATTTTGTAAATAAAGCATATCTTACAGTGTCTGATTTTAAATGATTAATTATTTCAAGAAATTTTTTATGACATAGAATGGCACAAAAAAAAACAGGATGAATAACATATTATGACATGAATAATTTCACACACAAGTTCTCTTGACACTGAAGTAAAATGCATTACTAATAGTCATTAGGTTGGTGAGATCAAACTAAGAATGGCTAAAATTAATTTGTTCAGAATTCAGGCTCCACCTCTTTTGATACTGATTGTGCCTCTTCAAGTAAGTAGCACATAATATTTGATGGTGAGTTGATACTGTTTTCAAGTTCACAGTTTTCTTTGCCTAAAAAGTGTTAATTAATTTCGGCTCCAGTAAAAATTATTTGTGATCATAGTGAAATATAAGACTACAAGTGTATAAAACCTTGAAATTAATTTAACATCTTGAAAAGCACAGAAAATTTACAAGGTTGGTCAAATTACAAGCTTAACAAAGAATGTGTATTTGTCACCAGTAATATAGACAAAACAAAAAAATGACTTGTTAAGTAAGTAATCAATGATGTAACAATTATATACAAAGAAACGACATTTCATATATTATTTATCCTCTTAAATCTCCTACAAGACCACGAATAAAACCTAAGCATTGAGCAAGAGTTTGAAGAACAACACACAGAGGAACTTGTAAGTCAAAAGTGCTTTCTTTCGTAAGTGAACCTAATCTGATTTAAGTATTTCATAAATGCAAGGGCAAGAAACAAAATGTTGACTTCTACACTTCACTCTGGTAGCAGCTTGGCTAAGTAATGATTTGTGAAAAAAAAGATGTAGCACACTACTAAAAAAAAAAAATAGATGTAGTGCACAACTAAAAAACTTATTCTGTTTATCCTTGTTACTGCAAAAAGACTTAACTCAAACTACAAATAAGGTGAAATGATCACCATCACTTCTGGCTAACTTTGGAGCTATGGGCAACAATAACAATATTTGTAACAAAGCACCTTTAAAACAAGCCTTGTGAAATCGGCAGGAAGATGTAAGTGCACAAGACACAATGATTGCCAACCTTGTTTTGACTGTGAAATCAAACGGCAGTTACTCGGTATACAACGTGACCAGGGAATGCACTCTTTTCATCTATTTCATTTTTAACTAATTCTTCTTTCGAAGCCTCTTCATCTGAATGTCTGTCCAATTCAGTGTTCATCACTAAAGAATTCTTCTTGGGTGATGTGAGAGGTATCATACTAGCATACCTTCTGTGGGTTCGCTGAAAAGGTTCTTTATGCTGAAGGCTCATAGTGTCGAACGAGGAGTCTAAAACATAAAGGCAAACTCTTTATCTAAAGAATGTAAAAAAATAGAAAACCTATGTGATTTAAACTTTCATAAAACTACTATTTATCGGTGATGAATAATCATCCTACTTAATGAGCCAATAAAACTAACCAAAGCACCAGCTTATTTTATTCTAATGTAAACATCATAGAATTGATTACTATTTAAGGTTGAGCAAAATAACTACTTTATTATAGAACTAATTTTAATCATTAATAAATATGAACAATTAAAAGCACAGTAATGTAATACACTTAAACTATTTAGTTCAAAATATATACTGTGATGTAATATACTCAAACTCAGATTATATAATAAACACTTTATACTAATTACAGTGTATTCTAAACACAGATCTCTGATGATGACCACTTGTTGTGATTTTCACTGAGCATTTACAGGTCATCTAGTCATACACCATTTCCAAAATGATAGGCAGTTTCTAGACCTGACATAACTATACAATGTTAAATACTGTTACGACAGTGGAAGTCACGTGATGCTGCTGGCGCGTTTGGCGCTGGTAGCATACGTGAAATTTCTCGAATGATCATGAATAATCGAGGAAGCCCGAGTGCATTTGGGACGCCCTCTTTTTTAGTATATAAGCCTGGAAAAAATTAATGTATGATAAAGCGAACAGTAGTCATGGTAAGTTTTGGGCGAAGTTATCGAGATTGTGAATCGCTGTGGTTTATAGCATGTATTATAAAAGCAGTTAAGTTTAAAGTGACGAGAAGTGTATTGACTGTGGGATTACTGTGTATTAAAAGTTTGTATCAAGGTAGAATAAAATGGTTTAATTAAGAAAGGACTTGTATCGCTGAAGAGAATTTTACCGGAAATTATCAAACAAGCAGATACGTAACAATACAAATAGGCAGCCCTTATTTGACAATGGTAGATTCAGTGATAATTTATTTATTTTGTCTTACAGGGAATATAAAAAAAATTCAGATTTCTTTTTCTTTTTTTTTGCTTCATAATCAATAAAGCCTAGGGAAAGCTAGAAATTGAAAATTGCTATGCAGCTCTAAATATCTTGTACCTTGTGTAAACTTATACTTTGGCTTAAAAACATCTTCAAGGCTGTTAAGAATATTAATGATATTCTTCTTTTTATCTACAGCTATGCAGCTGTAAATATTTTGTACCTTTTGTAAACTTATCATCTAAAACTTGTACTTTGGTTTTAAAAAACATACTTTGAAGCTGTGAAAAATATTAACAATATTCTTCTATTCATCTAGGTGAATGAGAAAGAATGGCTACAAGTCTATAAAATGTTCAATACTTGTTGCGAGTAAATGTCAGTGATGTCATAAAACACTGAAAAAAACAAAGTTTTTAAATATGGTAATTCTCATATCTTACTTAGTTACTTTAGGTTTGGTAAACATTTGTTTGATTATACTAACCTACATCACAAAGGTTATCTTGACTTTTACTGTTCTTAGGTGATAAGTAGCGAAAAGGAGGCATGCGGTAGGCCCAATGATCTGTGTTGATTAGCGACGCTGTTGATGCACTGCTGTAACCAGAAGTAGATGAAGATGCACATGACGATGATGTAAAACTTGTCCGTTGGTAGAAAAGAATGTATGCATCAGCAGTCACTATTTCACTTTCTTGGATAACGGCAACTTTAGTGTCATCAAACATATACCATTTCCCATCAACAGGGTTTCTACAGTAACCTGAACACAATTAAACACAACTTTAGTGTCATCAAACATATACCATTTCCCATCAACAGGGTTTCTACA